AGGGTATGAAAACGCCGACTAGGGGACTGGGTCACATAGGTCCCGTTAGGCTCCCTGGCTGAGGACCTCGGGATGGTCGTAACCGATGGTTAGACACACTGAGTGATATGGCTGGGTGTCGTAAACAGTGGCGTTCATGCATATTCTCAATTTCTTTGCAATCTTAGACCACAGAACTTCTCCATTTTCTATTCGACTCCACTTTCAACTTTCCCCTATTTTCTCTTATTCGTCATCCAAATGGGCAACCAAACGACAGCAATTAAAACCGGCGCACAAAGTGCACGATTAATGGGTGTAGAAACTGAAAACTGAAACTGAATTTACCAATTAGTTATGTGATTGGCATCGATGAGGGACGAAGGCGAAGTTGAGCCAGTTCTAGTTCACTTGTGGCCAGATTATGCGTTTTATGGTTCAAATGGGCGTAGCACACCTATGACCTATTTATATAGTGTTGCGAGTATTGGGATTTGAAATGGAGCTTGAAATGGATATTAAACCCGAGGGGAAGGGTCGGAATAGCATTATTCTTGCGACAACGTTATTATCTTTCAATTTAACTCAATTACTGATGAGCTCCAATAAGAGGGAAACGCGAGTCCAGTGCTCCCGAGTGTACGGTTGAATCGATAAACTGAGGATTGCGCGTGAAGGTTAAGTCCGAAGGATAGTCAGTTCAAATCAATAAAAAAACGTTTTTTTATCCCTCTCGTATAACAAAGGATATGAAAATCGCCCAGGTGACTTTCCGGTTACCCGAACCAAAGAATGCGATTAACCTCGGGATCAATAACAGAAACCTATGATTATAAAACCAGATCTGTAAAGCACCATAACGGAGCTCGGAACCTGTGAGCCGGTGTCCGGTTCGACGGATCCGAACGGGGAATCGATCGAGGTGTCACACTGTGTATAACAGAGTGGAAACTGGAAACGGTTGCAACGAAATGTTGAGTAAGACCAACGAAAAACAACTAAATCACGAAAAGTAAATAGTTGTTGATCACTTACTCCGATGCCAGGAACAAATACCAGAATGGCACCGTCCTGTGTGGTTTGCATGATATAGTCAACCAAGTGCACAATCAGATCGGTGTTCGGATATGCGTCCTCGCCGACTGTGTGAAGAATTTCCTTCGCCTTGGGCGATAAGCTAACGAGACGCATGTAACAAATCGCAAAGGAACCAGTTGGATAAGACAGTCAGCCGGAAACGAAATGATAAGTTGATATTATGGCTTCAGTTCTAGCAGACCAAAAGCATAAGTGACCACCAAAGTGGAAATATATGACAGTAATCCTAGACTTATTCCAGCGAGGATATCGGAACACGAGTTTAAAGTATACTTGATAGATTTGGACTTGAATGTGGTGATATCTGGAGCAGAAAGGAGACTAGCGTATGAAACTTAAGCAGATACATTTTCACCTACCAACCTCATCTTTAGTGGCTGAACACCGAGGTTTACGATACAAAACATTAGTTACTACGGATGATCTAAAGCGTAGGACTGATAAGTGTTTACCTGTCAGAAGTCAATTCTACACAGTGACGGTTCAGACAGCCTTCATTTCTAGTAATAAAGCAAACCCAGCTTATAAACGCCAAGTTCCACCGTGAGTCTCAAGAGAAATGAAATACAACAAATTTTCTTCTAATCGGTTTTCTATGCATGTTGAGCTTCCTGTGAAAATACCGTTTTCATCATACTGGCCACAGAATAAATGTTATGCAAAAAATGAGTGAAGGTCTGTACCACACTGTGAACGGATATCAGATGGATTTTGTGTGTTACAATTTAAGAGCCCCGTTCAGGCAGAAACAAACAGGCATAGGTAATCATTGGTGACTTTAGATGGTAGTCTATGAACCAAAAATGATACACATAGCCTAAACAATCTCACAAAACGTTGAGGCACCGAACGACAAATTAGTTCGTGTGATTTTACAGAAAAATAATTTATTTGGTTCCACATCTACATGGAACGGAATGCGCACCACAATGGCCAGCGTAGAATCACACGTACAGTATTCTCACGTCAGAATAGAACAGATTCGGACAACTAAAACCGCGGAGATAGTGCAAAACTTGAATTTGTATGACATTTGAATGCAGCTGATGCAGCTGTGTGTTTCAAGATGGGGAAATTGTGATGGATGTTGTCTGAATAGGTTGAAATTACCACTCAACGGATTGATATTCGCAAAGTGTACTAAACCGATAAACACAAATGAACTAACGAAGATTGCCATTGGAATCTAGGAAAATGACTGATTTAAATTATGCGCTGGGAGGGAGTACTGATCATCAGAAATGTGCAGATGGAAAGAAAACTTGTTCAGGCACTCAAACGATTGAACGTGTGAGATTAATGAACTCGGTCAAGTGAGAAGTCTGCTGCGGACCACAACACAGATAAAACTACAAAACTCCGGGGCCATGAATAAATTATCACAAAAAGAAAACAGTGATATGCTGACCAGGTACGGTAGAGAGTGCAGCACACTACAAAAAAACAATAACGTAACAAATAATTTGGACACAGAAAAATACCTAGAAGTTCAAATTCACATTCAACTGTCTCATTTTGATGTTGCATGATAACTGGAGTCTCACGTTAGCAAGGAAAAACAGTTAAGCGTTTCAGAAGAATCAAATGCAATAGCCCTTTTGAAAATCGATAAAAGGAATCGGTATTTAGTATCAACCAGTGTGTGCAAGCTATGAACAACTGAACACATTGGAGGAATATGAGGTCAAAGCAGAGCTTTGGAATTCAGTAAATAAAATAGGGGGCTGGACATTCTAGCATAGCTTCTATAGAACTACGATTGAGAACTGCTGCACAAAGAGAGGGGTGATTGCAAAGACCTTTGCACGATTCTCCGACCATAGATTATTCACATTTTTGACTCATGTTATTTGCTTCACCATGAAACAATCTCCCCCCCCCAACCGAAACTCTATTGCAATCTGCGCTAATGGACTACAGTCAAATGGGAACAGAGTACAAGGATAAGGCGCGTGATGCAGACCAACGGGTCTCTCACACTCGAGGCGTGAAACGAAGTAGTTGTAGGAAGCCCACAGTATGTAAACGGTGTTCGAACGAGAGCACGAACATGTGATGCAGAGACGAAATTATATGCAAATCGTGAACCCTGGGCAAACAGGGATAACGAATTATGATGAATACACTGTGAAGATCATGCGTAGTTCTATCCTTAAGCGATGATCGATTGGTGAAATCCATTAAATAACAAAACAGAAATCACTGAACACATCTCGTCCCTC